GGCTGTATTCCAAGGCTCTTCCGGATGTCACTGTTCCGGGCCATGTCGAGACGCGTAAGGCCAGCGACTCCTCTAAGAAAGCCCATTTCAACAGCTTGTACCCGGGTTCGAAGTTTTTCTGTGATGGTCCACGATTCATGACAGTAGGTAAATATGGGGATAAAGATCGACTTGAATACTGAGAGCTTAGTTTTCAGACTGAGCTCTGCTTTAGTCACAATGGGTCGGGCTAGTTCACGCAGAACACCACTGGCTATTCCAATTCGCCGGTCGATCTGTTCCTCCAATACTCCATTACTCCATTATAGCACGTCAGAAAAGGCTCCTCGAGAACGACTTTGCAGTCCTCGCTTCTATTTTATTATGTTGCTTCTGCGTCACCCTAGCGCGAAGCCGCATTGCTACAGTTGGTGAACATTCATCTACGTTCTTCCAAGAGGAGATAGTTTTGTCTAAAAGCAATCCACAAAATCTACTGTACACGTCGAATGCTTCCAAACACCAAAAAAAGACTAAGCAACAACATAAGTAAATAACAATCAAAATGGCAGTGTGCATTTGATGCATGCTGATCTAAGCGACGACTGTATGATGAAATCCCTTTACGCATATAAGCACTCTGTTCGCATCCTTGGAATAAGTCCTGCAAGATTTCCTGCTCTCTATTCATTCATCTTACACGGCTGTAATCAGGTGACTGATTTATTTAATCGCGCGAAAATATAAGTAGACATCGGCTTTTAGAAAGCTGTCTGAGGCAAGCTTTTTCACTGCCTATGCCAGAGAGTCAGTCACCTCCTTTTATTCGAATCTTCTGAATTAGCGAGACAGCTACGGTGACAGTCCTTATTTCCATCTTGCTAGAATAATGCAGGCAAAGTTGTTCCGTTAGGCATTTTGACCGATCAAGCCAGACATCTGTGTGTCAACCTCACCGCACAGCACATAATGGATATTTCACATTTCGTAATAATGAGATCATCCATCGAATCTAAAGCAACAATTGTAGGTTTAACTCGGTTTGATTGATTCTAACGTTCTGCCAAAAGAGGCGAAATTAAAGCGATACAGTTGTGTTTGAGAAATTAATTATTTTCTTTACTGGCTTTTCTCTGTCTAGCGGCCGACTTAATTTTAGAAATAGATGGAGGCGACGGTTCCCGTGATTCCTACAGAAGCATGCTCCAATCGATATCTGAAAAAATAAACGAAGAACTGAAAAAGAACCAGTACAGTTCACTTCAAGTGACCGAATTGAAGGACACGCTGGCCAAGGTGAACACGCTCAAAGAATCGGAGGTCGAAGATCGTTCATTGCTGGAACAGCTTTGGGAAGCGGTGAACACGGTGATAAAACAGAACTTCAGCTTTGACAACATTCTCCAGCAGTTAGCGAAAAGAATAAGAGATTGGTTGTTCAGTTCTCTGCCATTTATGGGCAATGCCGAACGACAGGAAGCCTAAAAACGATGCTGATTAAAGAACGGTAACTTTAAAAATATTTTTTCATAATGGATAACTCATCATCAGCAGGACTGTTGCCTTCCAATCAATTG